AGAGCTTTGTAAATTGCAAAGTGCTGAATAATGTATATGACACTGTTATCTATTTCCTAGTATCTGGGCACATGCCTGTTCCATCATTCGGGAAGAAAGGTATCTAATATTCAGATACCAGAAATGCATCTGGGGAGATTCAAGGTGACTGTGCAGGTAGGGCTGGTAAGTCTTCACTATAGACATCCTCTGTGCTGAGCTGGAGGCTGTGGGAGCCAGCCTCAGATCTGGGAGCTGAGAGCCAGGGACATTAGATTTTACCTCTAATGCTGAAGCTCCAGACCACTTCATCCTAGGGTGTCTAAATCCACCACTCCCACCTGAATCGAGAATAGCCAGAAACCCCAGGACTGGAAGCTGTGCAGAGGCACGACAGTAGCCTAGCTGCTTTACACAAGTTGTCAGGATTAGAGAGGACTTGGGAAGGAGAGGAAGGGCAAATAAAACTTATATTTCCTGTTTGATTGGATTGTAAAGCCCGATATCCTAAGGAAGAGAATGGAAATTTATAGACTGCCTATGTGCCATGGGATTTACACTGATTATCTCTTAGATAGTTATTATTATTCCCCATCCTCTTGAGAGGAAGCTGAGGTTCAGAGAGGTGAAGTCACTTGCCTGATGGAAACATCTAATAAGTGGTGCCAGGTTTTAGAACTGAGTCTGCCAGGTCCTACACTTCTTCTACTGCATCCTGATAAGGCAGTGAGCTGGGGGCAGCAGGGAGCCTGGTAGGAGTTGGTGTCAGCCTCCATCACAAACAACATGCAACACAGCTAGCACTCAAGAGAGGGGACAGCAGAAAGGTCAACACAAAGAATTTCTGGGTGAAGAAAGAAACTCACATGCTCACTGAGTTTACCCCCACACCCAACAAGCCTTCAATGGATGGCTCTCAGATGCCCTGAGCCATCTCAACATCCAATGATGATACAAAATCAGGAATGAGAAACTGGCATTCCCAACAATGGACACACAACTTTCATCCACAGCTGTGGGGTCTCTATGGTCCTCTGATTGGCATGCCCAGTCTCCTTTCCTAAAGATAAGCTTCACCTCTCTGTCCATGCACAAGTAGTGGCCACTTCTGGGATCTACCTCCCAGAGCAGTCTATGGACCACTTGAGAAAATGGTCCTCATCGCTTCAGAGTTCTGCCTGGTTCCTTGCCTGCCCTGTACACTTGACACATGGTTCAGTCCGTAGATGAATACTTGTCACCACATTACAGGTTCAGACAACAATTCCCCACTAGAAGCCAGAAACACTCTGCCTAATGGCAACTTGCTAGAATAAGGGCATGGTTTCCCACAGGGACTACTATGAATGGAATGGCCATTCTGTTGGTTTTAAAAACATTAATGGTAGAATTTTGGAGCCTGAGTTCCTGGGTAGGGCAGGCAGGCAGTAGACAGTTTCTGTCCTATGCCCAAGAAAGTAGAACCTGCTTACAGGTGCAGAAGGGCATGCTGCCTTATATCATTGTACACTGATCTCATACTATTTCTTCAGTACGTTAGTTGTGTGTGAAGCTGTCTCTTCCATTAGACTGTAGACTCCTGGGTAATTTACTGAAGCTGTCTTGGTGAAAGGGCTTAGTAAGAACCATGGTCCTTTTGGCCCTGGCATTTGTGGGGCCACAGGCCTGTGGGCTTTGAGCCCCAGACGGACTTACTGCCAGCGTAAGGATAGAAGTCATTTCATGTCTGTGTTTTCAAAAAGGTTTCAAAAAAGGATATTACATGTTTCCAATCATGGCCAGGGACACTGTGTTACCTGGGGACTCAGTGTTCCTGCTGCTGCGAGACAAAGCATTAGGTCCACTCTGTCTCACATGGCTCTGGAGAAAATGATGATGGATTGTCAGAGCCATATGAAGGACATTAGTCTGTTACACTTTTAGCTGTTGGCTAAATTCATGGCAATTATTCGTTTTGGTCCAGACTGAGCAGAGAGGCAGATGGGGGTTGTTCTCTTGCTTTCGCCAAAAGCAATTTCTCTTTTAGAAATAAACGTGAAAAACAAAATGCCAGCTGTTTCTAGAATGACTGAACTAATGAACAGGGGAAAACCAGCCCAACCTCTTCACTAACAATTTTCAAGTGACAGGATTTCTAATGAGTGGGGGATGGGAGAGAAGTCACTTCTTTTACATTTGCATAGTCATTAGTGCCTGGAAAAAAATTCAAGTAAAATCCAATGTGTGTATTTTGTCCTCTAGTTGAATTCTAGTAGAGACAACGTACAGAGAAAAGGGAGAGATCTAACCCAGTGAGACCTCCTAAGCCACACTGTGGTGTTAGCTGCTGTAGAGTTGGCTCCCAACTCATGGTGACCTCATGCATAAAGGAAAAAAATGCTACCCGCTTTGGGTCATCTCCATGACTGGTTGCAGATCAGACTGTTGGGGTCCAGAGAGTTTTATTGGCTGATTTTCAGAAGGAGATTGCAAAGTCTTTCTTCCTAGTCTGTCTTCATCTGGAAACTCTGCTGAAACCCGTTCTGCATCATTGTAATGTACACGCCTCCACTGGCAAACAGATGGCGGCTGTGAATGAGGTGCACTGGGTGAGAATGGAACTCAGGCATCCTGCAAGGAAGGTGAGGATTCTACCAGTGCACTGCCTATGTCCCCTCTAAACAATGTAGCTAGCTGTCAAATGTAAAGAACAGTCTTAGGAGATGATGTCCTGAGAGGGTGACAGTGTAGGAAGGAATCCTCTGAGGTGCCCTGTTCTAAGTTTATCCAAGGCCACACAAATTATGATCTGCGCTCCTAGATAAAGACCTCTGTCAGGAATAATATTGCTATCTATTACCTTCACAGTAACAAGTTGAAGGAAAGGGCTAGAATCTTTCCAGCAACTGAAATATTCCCATTTTGCAGGCAGGGGTCACCCAGCTGTCAGTGCTGTGGTTTCTGGGGGACCGACATCTTGCCAGAAAGAGCCAACCAGTTAAGTGATGACACTTAAATGAGCCAGATTTATTATGCTGATGCCTGATTTCCAAATACCAAGTCATTTTGAATGTCCAATTCATAGATTAACTGCAGTGTTTCCATAATCAAAGGTCAAAATGACTTAGAAAGACAAAAGGCAAGAGGATTTTGGGGGTCTGGAGATACTGTAATAAGATTTAGAGAGAAAATGAAAGGCCATAGAGACTGGAAAAATGCATCACCCTGGGCACTTGCAGAAATATTCCTAAAACAGAAATACCAACTGAAGGCAGCACATCCTTCACCTTGGCAACGATCTGTATCTGGCACAGTGGTCATAATTTGCACTGTGTACATTCCTCCCCAGACTTTTACTGTCTGGCCCCAGCAGGCCTTAACAGACAAGGGAACAAAGCTGAAGCCTTCTGCCATGCCCCTGCGCCTGCTCTGTGCCCAATGGGCTATGCTGACACACAGCAGTGCCTGGTGATACCATGAACACCTTGCCCCTAAGGTGCCTCCATCACAATGCCCTGCCAGTCTATGTCTGGCCAACAAACAGGTGCAGATGGGGTTAGCCCTCTAAGTGAATAGGTCAGGCCACACTGTTAGAGTTGACAGGAAATAAAAACAAAGTTTGGAAAAGGCCAAAAGCCACAGCAACTCAGCAGCAAACCAGCACAGCACCCAGACTTGTCCTACCTTCCGGACGGTTGGAAATTTGCCATCATAACGATAAAACCACCCAAAGGCTATAAGAACACAGAGAACAATGTGTTGAGATATGGTTCAGCTCAGCCAGAGTATCCATAGGCAGAAGCTGGGGGTCTGGTCCCCAAGGAACATGTAGCTTTGTGAGATGAAGAATATATCAAATAGCAAACCTGCACCCTCTGTGTGGCTCTCTACTTACCTGGCCTTGCTTGGGTTGCAAGGCAGGCTCAAGACCACCTGAGAAAGGCCCCAATTCCCAGGTCCTAGGAACTCTAGTGGCATAGTGCCTAAGGCATCTGACTGCTAACCAGAAGGCTGGCGGTTCAAACCCACCAGCCACTCCTCAGAAGGAAGGTTGGGCAATCTACTTCTGTAGTGATACTGCCTCGGAAACCTAAGGAGGGGTTGCTATGAGTCAGACCTGACTCAATGGCAGTGGTTTGGTGGTTTTTGGACCACTCTCAGATGCCTCTGTCCAGGACACCGGCTTCAGAAGTCAGTGCCAGAAAATCAAAGAGAAAGTCCCTTGTGGAAGGATGAGCTTTTGTGACTCACAGTCATAGTCTCTAAGCACAAAGCCCAATTGAAAGAGAATGAGGCTTCTCCTAACTGATGTTTGGTTCCATAGTCCAAAAAATGACTTGAGACAAAAGGGACCTTGGGTCTCCGCCTAGAACTGCTGTTACACAGAACAAAACTATCCTGTCTCATAGCACAGGCCAAGTTCTCTGCTTTCAACTGAGAAAGCAGAAGCCAGGGACTAGCTCTGGGAAGGAACGCTCAGGGAGGAGTGGACAGGGGATCTGCTTCCCAGAAAGCATGTCTCTGTCCAGGCCAGATTACCAGAGCACAAGCCCCCTTTCTTCCCTTGGGCATGAGGGGGTAATATCCCAAACCTGAGCCTCCCTGGGGCCAGGAGTGTAGTTATTATTATTATCCTCATCCTCTTGATGAGGAAGCTGAGGTTCAGAGAGGTGAAATTATTATCTACCCTTGACCAGCCTGAGGCTAGAACAGGATTCTGAAGGCCCTCTACTGTGCTGACCACATTAGTTGCTGAAGACCTAGAAAGTCCTGGGAGAGAGACCAGAGCAGCAAAGAAAGGACCTGGGCTTGGGCAATATTTAAGTAACTGAGCAAGTGGTTCAGTTCTACTGGTGTGCATTGGCTGATTTATCAGCCTGGCTATGAGTCCTGTCCCCAAGTTGGGGGTCAGAGGAGCTTAACAGACTCCAGTGGTCCTTGCCACATGCTGGCCCACAGCAGGGCATCTGCATGGCTGTCAGGAGGAGGTGGGCAAGGGAAGCAGAGCAGCAAGGCTAGGCAGCAAAGCGGGGGCCGCAAACCTGCTCTCTCTGCTCCTCTGGGCCTCCGTCTGGGTCGTCTGCAGGCTCGAGCTCGGACTCCACTGCCAGATCATCTACCCAGGAAAAAAGGAGGAAGCTGTGAACTAAGAGGGGCTCGGGAGACTGAGGGTCCAGAGGTGCTTCCCAGGATTCTAAGTGCTACCCAGGCTAGCTCCTGATCAGCTTCCTCAAGGGGGCTGTGATGTCAGTGGCAGGAACAGGGCTCAGGAACCCAGAGTGAAGGTTTGTTTTTTTTTTCGCACTGGGGTGATCCATGCAGTGCTTTGAATTTTGAAAGCCTCAGTTTCTCTAGCTGTAAAATGGTCTAACAACAGCATGAGAACCATTTTGCAGGGCAGTTAGTTGAAAGTTGGGAGGTGTGATGTGGAGGATGGGAATATCTGAGTATTTGATGTCTGAAACCAAGGACTTGCAATAGAAGAATCGACCCTTCTGATGACTTCTTACCACCCTTGCCTTGGAGATCTAGGTCCCTGGGGATATCTGAGCTGTATGGGCAGCAGATGGAGGTTGGGGATCCTGAGAAGATGAGGAGATTCCAAAGGAGTAAATGGGGCACATGTAGTTAGGAAAACATGAATAGCAAACCATTCATTCTAGGGGCTTCTGATCTGGATCTGGCATTTTTTGGGCCCTGGAGATAATGTACAAGCCTGTTTATAAGTTGTTTTTTAATATTCCAAAAACTTAGAAGAACTTCTCCATTGACCAGTGAAAAGGTTAGATATAAAAGTTCCTTTGCTTTCAGCTCAAATTATGTTTACTTAATATCAGAACACTGATGTTCTCTTGCTAACAAGGACTATTTAATAAAACAATGAGAAAGCAAATGATTACTTAATAGTTTGGTAAGAAAAACCTCAACATCAATGGAGTCCATGATGGGAGATGAGATAATAGACTGGGTCTAGTAGTGTAGTGCCTAAGGCACTTGACTATTAACCAAGAGGCTGGAGGTTCAAACCCACCAGCCACTCCTCAGAAGGAAAGTTGGGCAATCTACTTCCATAGTGATACTGCATCAGAAACCCAAGGAGGGGTCACTGTGAGTTGGGTCTAACTCGACAGCACATAACAACAACAGCAATGGGAAGAAAAGACAGGACATCTCTTGTTTAAACCTTTGCATCTCTCAAGGCCTCTTTAGCTCTGGGTTCCTTAGTAAAGATTCCCCATACCCCCTGTTGCATTAGCTAAGGAAACTTCTTGAAGGTGTGTGTGTCGGGGGGGGGAGGCATTGTGACAGGGTTTCCCAGGGCCTTGAAGGCTCTGTGGAATTTTGGGGTTCCTGCCATTCAGCCACAGGTAAGTGGGGAGAAGCAATTGACCCTGGGGTAGGTGGCATTGGAGGGACTTTGAGTCCCACCTGTCTTTCGGATGAATAGCATAATTTTCCAAATAATAGTTGCTTCACACTCTTTTCCTATTTGTTCAGAAATGCAGGGCCCAACTCTCACAGGCACAGAAATCAGAGTTAGGTATAACCTGTGGGCTAACCAGGTCTCAGAATTAAAGGGTGGTAGGGTAAGAGAAGCTGCCTGGGGTCTGGTCCTGCTGGCCCAACACAGCCAAGTCCATTCCAGACTTTTGGGAATGAGGGGAGAGGCAGGAATTGAGCTGGTTCCAGGGTTTACTGCATTCCTGACTTGTCTCCAAATTAGAATTAAATTGTTGATGCATATGGAGATGGATGGTCAGCAGCTGCCCCCGTTCAGGCCAGCAGACTCCAGTCATCAATCATGTGCTTTGTGGGGGCTGCCTTAGAAAACACTTATTTTTAGAAAAGGATAAAAGTTCTTGTGCCTTTTATACAAAAAGCTTGATTGGTTTTAAAAAACACTAAATGAATAGCCAGCTAGTGAAAGGGTTTTCATTTTCCATAGTTCCTGAGAGGGTGTGTTTGCAACAAAGCTGAGACCTAGTTTCTAGGAAGGTACTAAATTGACCAGGATTACTTTCATGAGAAGCAATTAAAATCGATTTCTCTCCTTCTGAAGCTCCTATTTCATTCAGGAGAGCAAATTAGTTGCCTGTCTAAAACATGGATTATTCATCTGGAATTTATCTCTGGCTACATCCTCAAGTAATCCTGAGTGCCACTGGGGAGGTAGATGAGGGCATGCTTTGTCCTTCCAAGAGGACCATGAGATGACACTGTTCCCACTGTCGAGAAGGAATGTGCGGGGAGCAGTTTACCCTGAACCAAGGAGGGGTGAAACAGAACCATCCAGATGCCCTGCACCTCTTCCTTGTTCCAAGTGGCCTGTGTTGGCAAACTGACTTCTCTCTAGGGCCTGAGTTTGATCCAAAGTTGGGGATGGAGCTGTCCAGATCCTATCACAGGATTCCAAATGGCTTCCACATAACAGAGATAGGGACCTTTGGCTCTTGGGTCCAGAGTCACCCCATAACTGGGGGCTCCCAGGTCAGCTGAACAAAATAAGCTGGAGGAGAGGTTGCTTTATGTCAATTATAAGTCAAAATAGCTTTAAAGTGGGGTAAAGGTCCAACTGGGAGTCTATGACCTCCAGACTTCCTTACTCTTGGCTCTCACCACTAGCCCACTGAAAAAATACTGAGACTGAGATCCTGCTTTGCCCTGGTGATATGAGTAGTCCCTTGAAGAGACATCCTGGAAGCTGAAGTTGAGAGCAGGTGGACAAGGGTCAGTTGGTGGTGGCCTGGGTTGAAACTAGAGGTGATGATGACACAGGACTAATGAAAAGAAGAGATAGATAGCAAAGGCAGAGGGAGCTGAGGCTCCAGGGTTATGGTGCAGCCACCAGACTGTGGTGGCTGGGAGGGGTCTTACAGTCATCTTCTTCTCTCTGTCCTTGGAGTGGCATGACAAGTGTCTCTGAATAGGGATGTAGGTGGTAGGGGCACTTCAGGTAAGCTTCTACCACAGTTGTCTGTCAACTTTGGACCAACAGAGTCCTTTTCTAACATGAACTGCTTCCCCTCTATTTTGCTGCTGGCTTTACCCCAGCCCTAATTCAGCACAAGGCAGGAAGAGGACATGACACTCAACAAACTAAGACTTTAATCCTATGAGCCAGTTCTACTTTTGTTACAACTCTCCATTCCCTCTTTCTTCTTTTCCAATCTAAAAGTTAAGAAAACTTAACTCTTATTTCCTTTTCTTATCATACTGCATTTATGAGGACTACCAGTACAATACTGAATAGGAGGAGTGAGAGGGGACATCCTTGTCTTGTTCTCGGTCTTGGGGGAAAATATCTAGTCTCTTATCATTAAGTATGATGTTAGCTGTAGAGTTCTTTTTTTTTTTTTTAAATAGATATTCTTTACCAAGTTGAGGATATTCCCTTCTATTCTTAGTTTACTAAGGTTTTTTTTTTTTTTTTAATCATGGGTGGTGTTGGGTTTTTCTTAAATGCTTTTTCATGTATTGATACATGATTTTTCTTCTTTAGCCTGTTGATGTAATAGGCTACATTAACTATTGAATATTGAATCAGGCTTGCATACCTGGAATAAATTCCACTTAGTCATGTTGTATAATTTTTTATACATTGTTTGATTGGCTTTGCTAATATTTTATTGAGGAGTTTTGCATCTATGTTCATGAGAGAAATTGATCTATAGTTTTCCTTCTTAGTAATGTCTTTGTCTGGTTTCCATTCCCTCTTCAGTAGCCCAAGGGCCCTGGGAGGGGTCTGCCGCCTGAATTTGTGTTGTGGGGGAGAGACTAGTAGCTGGAGATGTGGAGCAGACCTCCAGGCCAAGGAGAGCAGATGGATGTCCTCTTACCCCTGATGCCCTGGCAAACAGGCCCTGATACATGGCTGCCCCTCCATAAAGGAAATGTGGCCCAGAGAGCCATGGACTAGACACCTGAGGAAGTGATAGGGAGTGGAGGGAGACTAGCATCTCTATTGAGGCCTCCACACCCCACTCCAGGCCCCAGAAGGAAGCCTAACCCCCTGGCAGATGGTACGTACACTTTGGCTTGCGAAGAGGTATTGGGTGCACCTCGGCGGTGATAGTTTTGGGCGAAAGCAGCTGTTGCTTTGAGCCCCAGTCTTCTTCCCACTGCTTTCGAAACTTCTCTTCATCCTCCACAATCCTGAAATAAGACCCCCGACCTGTGACTAAGGTTGAAACTTTCACAGGTCCACCATCTGCCTACCGGAGAACCTTAAAAGGTTCAACCTCATGATTCTAGCTGCTGGGGATGTAGCAGCAAATAAAACTAAGTCTCTGGAGTTGTATTTAAATTGAGTGCAAATGCCACCAATTAAACAACACTAGGTCAATGGTCATGAAGACTGCACAGGACTAGGCAACATTTCATTCTGTTACACGTAAAGTTGCCATGAGTCGGAACCAACTCCACACAATTCAGCACAGGTTCTAGTGACCCAAATCTGTTGGACTTTACTAGGATTATGAAATGGCTACAAATAAAGGTGGATCCACCGGGTGACAAGAGGGCCCAGGAAAGTGGGCCTGGAGGTCTTCTCCAGCTGGCTCCATTCCTGTGAGCACATTCATGTCTATACATAGACACACGTGTACATAAACTTGGAGCTGAGGGCACTTACTGTTCCATCTCCTTCCGGTATCTCTCATTTTCCTCTGCTGCCTTCTGGGCAATTTCCTTTTTCCTTCTGAAACACAAGTGCACATTGACATGTTTCAATCTATGCAAGAAAACTGACCTCTTCCTTGTGGCTAATTCTTGATTTGAGAATAGTTCTAAATATTTTTACCAGGCTCCCTTCCAGGAATGCCTGAACCAGACTTGGATGTCGGGGAAGCTTTCCAATAAAGTGAGCACCCCAGCCTTTTGTGTGGTTTCATCTGGCATTGCTGAGTAGTTTCTGTGTTGTAGGAGTTGGGAGGCAAGTCCACACGTGGGCCACACTCCATGCATCCCACCTCCAAATAGTTATATAAAGTAATTGACAGTAGTGAGGCTCCTCCCAGAGGAGAGTCTCAGACCCAGGGACAAAGGAGGGCTCTAACCAAGGCTAGGACTGTGGGCAGTGGTACCACAGGGGTTGTTCTCCAAGCAATTTTGTGATGGAAGTCTTTTCCTTCTTTCTCCAAATACTTAGGAAGCTTCTAGAATGTATCTTGATTTGGATTTTGACAGTAGTTTTGGAATTATAAACTGTTCACCCCACTTATTCTCCCAGTCCATCTCTCAACTACCCTGTGGGGTAGCTCTTAACACCTTAGGCTGTTAGCCCTATGCAGAGTGCCAAGCTCTTCAGCCAGACTGCCTGGATGTTAATCCCAGCTCAGCCATGTGTGACTTTGTATAATGTGGCTTAACCACTCTCAATCTTAGTCTTCTTAATAGCAAAATGGAGTTACTATCATCTAACTCCCAGAGCTATTGTAGGAATTAAATTAAGTCACATAAACAGGGCCGTAATCAATGCCAGCAACATGGTAGGTGCTCAACATATGTTAGCTATTGCTAGTAGGATCCTCATTTCCTTATTCCCAGAGTCCTTGGGTGGTGCAAATGCCTAATACACTCAGCTCCTAATGGAAATATTGAAGGTTCCAGGACACACAGAGATGCCTTAGAATAAAGACTTGGTGACTTACTTCCAAAGAGTCAGTCATTGAAAATCCTATGGAATGCAGTTCTACTCTGATGGACATGTGGTAGCCATGAGTCAGTCAGAATTGACTCAGTGATAACCTCCCCCACCCCCACACTTCTTTCTTTAAATCAGAGGCTCTTCTTGGCCAGGAAAGGAGAAGCCAGGTGGTCTGGAGGCAGGGGAATGGATATGCTGACCTGCCACTGAACCCATTTAGTTTCAGGACAAGCCTTGGGGGAGGAAATGAAGCAGGTCCAGGACACAGGTGTTAGGCAGCGAGGCAGGGTGACAGTGGTACAGTCCGGGATGGCAGGGAAGGGTATCCAGGGCAGGCCCACTCACTGCCGCTCCATCTCCTGCTGTTCCTGGAGGATCTTGTTGGACTCCATCGCCAGCTTCTTCTGCATCAAAAGTTCCTGCCGCTGTAGTTCGCGTTGCCGCACCTCTGCCAGCCGTTCCTGGTCAGTCATGAACAGCTCCCGACCCTGATGGGAGGAAAAAGGCCCTTGGCTCTGCCTTACGGGGAACCTAGGTGTCCACTGCCACTGCCTTGGGGGCCATGATGTGGGCTTTCAGCACCATGCACTCAGTGTCAGGCATGGGGGTTCATGCTGGCTCTGATCCAACATCTCTTTGCTCCATCAGAGCTTTAGGGAAGTGGAACCCTGGGCTCTTCCCAGGAGTGTGCGACAGAGAGCTGGATCTCAGGAGCTGGGGGCTGGAGATCACAGTCATGTGGTCCCCACCAGCTCATTCTGGACTTACAGCTCCAGCTACGATGGAAATGGTCAGACTGCGGCTACTCTTCAGTACATTCACAGCCTGTGGGAAAAGGAAGCCAGTCAGCTGAGGCCTGAGAGACCAGAGCAGCCCAGGCATAGGGCACAGAAGGTCTCAGACACCAGGGCAGTGCAGAAGGAGAAGTGGAGGGGGAGGTAAGGGCCAGCAGAGGAAGACCCCACACCTCACCTCCTTATGGTCCAGGTTGGAGAAGTCGATGCCATTGACTTCGACAATCTGGTCCCCTGTCTGGTGGAGAAATGAAGTATCAGCATGTTTGCACTACTTATATATGCACTCAGCTGTAGGAAGGGCTCCCCCAGGGGGTCAGAGTCATATGTCAGGCCTTCAAATGGCTATGCCTCAACTCTTCCTGATGAATAGAGGAGCTGGAACGCTCTGATGGAGCCCGAAGCTCACCCTGGCACCACTCAACCTATACCTCTCATCAGCTGCAATATTTTACCATCAGAGGTTCATTTCTTTGGCTGAATTTTTAACATTTGCTTTAACGATCAGTTTGTAGACTGATATAACAGAGGCAGTATTGAATACACCTACCTCTTGCTTATCGACTATCTTGTTATCCAACATTTTGCATTTATGACAATAGTAAAAAAATCTACTGACTATTTTGTGCATTGATGACACACATGTGGCAATAACGAGTGCCAAGATGTGAGGCAAGAGTAACACTGGCTGTGATGGTTAAGGTTATGCGTCAATTTGCCTGGGCCAGGATTTGCAGTGGTTTGGCAGTTATATAATGATGTACCTTGCCAGTTATGTAATGATGAAATTTGGCAGTTATGTAATGATGTAGTTTTTTTAAAAATAATTTATTGTGATTGGGTGAAAGTTTACAGAGCAAATTCATCTTCCATACAGCAGTTCACGTACACTTTGTCTCATGACATTGACTGCAGTCTCCCACAATGCAACAATTCTCCTCCCACTTCCTCTCCATAGTTACCTCTTCCCTGTGTCTTTCCTTCCCATGTGCTCCTGCCCCCCAAGCTGTCTCCCTGTGCATACATAGCCCTTCTATTCTCCTATGATTGATCTCTCCATGGAGTGTATCTAGCTAATGTAAATGTTCAGCTATATGCCTGTGTTTTGTTTGGCTAGAAGCCACAGGAGTGGGTTCAATTCCAGACCTGAAGGGCAGCTAGGGGCCATAGTCTCAGGGGTTCCACCAGGCTCTATCAGGCCAGCAAACCTGGTCTCTTTATTTATTTACTTATTTTTAAATGACTTTGAGTTTTGTTCCACATTATTCTCCCACTCTATCCAGGATCTCCTACACAGATCTCCCTCTGAGTAGTTGACAGTGGTAGCCGGGCACCATCTAGTTCTTCTGGTCTCAGTAGTATAGGCTGAGGATTGCATGGTGTACCAGTCCCCTGGACTAATTGATTCCATGTATCTTTGATTTTCTTCATTCTTGTTTGCTCTGGATGAGGAGAGACCCATCGTTGCATCTAGATAGCTGCTTGCAAGCTTTTGAGATCCCAGTCACTACTCACCAAAGTAGGATGTGGAACAACGTTTTTGTGTAGTATGTTATGCCAATTGAGCTTGATGTCCCCTGCAACTATGGTCCTGAGCCCACAGGTCCAACTACTGATTCCCTCTGGGTAGCTGGCTACGGCCAAGAAGTGACTACAGCCTTGTCCCTTGACAGCTCTACTATACATCTGGAAATTCCTACAGAACATACAAATACACCTGTAGAAACATTGTCTGCCAACTCTATACATGGTCATGGGCACACTCCCCGTAATGATGTAATTTGACAGTTCCGTATTGAAGTATTCATCCTCCATTTTCACGTAACGACTTGGTCTTTGGAACCTAACTATATCAATAATAGCTGAAATAGCTAACATCCACTAATAACTTACTATGTGCCAGGAAAATTTCTAAGCATATGCATTAATTCATTTAATACACACAACAACCCTAGGAGGAAGGTGCTATTATTATCTCCATTTTAAAGGTCAGGAAACCAAAGCACAAAAACATGAAGTAAGTTTCCCATAGAAATTAGGAGTTCTGGCTCTACCTTTAAATCCCAGCCCTACCATCCTAGGTACATGATCTTGGAGAAATCATATAATCTCTCTGGGTCTCTGTTTCTTCATTTGTGAAATGAGAGTCATAATTGAACCTAATTCTCAGAGTTCAGGTAAAGTTTAAAGGACTTAGGACACTGGGTCTGAGTAAGCACTCACTGAATGTCAACTTTTTTGATTATTATTACTACATTCTTAGCTCAGGACTAAAGCTTATCAGGGTTGGCAAAGTTGGTCAAATGTCACCCCCTCTGTGAAGGCTTCCCTTGAGGGTTGGGGAAGAATCACCAGCCAGGACTGCCGAGAGAGAGCTGTGGAGCAAGGCACAGGTTTCCATCACTGTGTGACCTCGTGCTCTGCTGGGACCCCCCTGGGGGATGGCCCAGGATCACATACCTCCAACCCAACCTCAGCAGACAGGGAGCCAGGCTTTACGTGGCTGATGAAGATGCCAGGTTTCTGGATGGGGCCGCTGGAAATGCTGAGAGAGAAATGGAAATATAGGTGAGGGTCTGCACCTTGCCTCTCATCCACTGCGGCACTTGCTCATTCTCGATGTTCTGTCCCTCTGCCTGGGCTCCAGAAGACCCATATGGTGCCCAGTGCTCCAGTCCTTCAGGATGCTTGCTAATCCCTGAGCTTTTTACTCAAGACCCTGCACTGTCTGTCTCTCTAGCCTCATCGCCACTGCTTCTCTGAGCAACAGCCACAGCAAACTACTTGCAATTCCTCCCACCCAACCTCTCACTTATTATCCCGTATATGCTGTTTCTTCTCTTTTTCTGGCAATTTCCTATTCATTCCTTAAGATTCAACTGCTGTCCTCTATAAGCCTTTCATCAAACTCCTTATTCAAGACTGAGCTAGTTTTTCCCTTCTCAGTACTCCTAAAACAACTATAGGAAGGATGACATATGCTGTCATTCTCCCCTCCTAGATCTGTGGCAGACATCATTAATCCATCACAGCACTCTCTTACCAATGCAGGAAACAGCCTTAGAATCCTTTTCAAAGGAGTACCCCACGCAGAACTAACTATATCAATATAACTGATATAACTACTAATTGATTAGAGATAGCATAGGACAGGAAATCTATTTGCCATCCCTGACCCAAAATAAAGCTTCATTATAGTCCCTGTTACCCTATTCTTTAAATATTAATGTTATTGGAGTCTTTCTGAGACTGTAATCTCCTAGAAAGAAGGAAATTTTTACCACTTATGCTTGGCACAAAAGTGTCAAATAAACGCAAATGAATAGAAATTGTAAGAATATGTAACTTAAATAATAATAGCTAATGTTTACCAACTGCTTCCTACCAACAAGACATTAAGTTTGGTACATTGCTTTTGTCATCTCATTGTTTCTCACAACAGTCCTGTGATGTGGGTATTATCATTCCAAATTCATAGAGGGAGAAACTGAGGCTCAGCATGGTAAATAAGTAACTAATCCAAGGTTCCAGAGCTCATAAGGGGCAGAGCAGGGCTAGAACCGAGATCAGGGTGACTATAGCACCTGTGGACATAACTAGAGCATCCTCTGACCTGATGCCAGCTTGGATTCCCTAGGCTTTAAGGAGAGCCACAAAGTAGTAAGTGACAAGGGAACTGTGACACAGATGACCATTTGATCAGGCCTCTTGAATACTGACTCAAGGGCCCACCGAAGGGACTTGGCCCTGCCCCTGGGCCTCAGTTTCCTCATCTTTAAAATGGGGCCTGTTAGAGCTGTCCCACAGGCCTTTGCAGGGCTACTGTGAAGCCCAGAGGGGAAATGAGGTACCAATATGTACCATCACCAGTGGGCAAGTATCTCTGCAGGGGCAGCAGTGAGAGGAGAAAGCTGACAGGGGTCTACTGCAGTCTACGGCCAGGAGTGAGCCCAGGATGTGCTTGCTACCCACCTGCAGCCAAGGCCCCGGGAACCCACCAGGCTGATGAAGATCTTCTTCTCCTTGTTTTCCCGACTCCCAAGGGAGCCCAGGGTCCCCTGCCCACCCTGGAAGAGGAATAGAAACAGGGTTACTAAGTGTCTGTAGTAAGCCCTGTTGTACCCACATAGGCCTGATCGTGGCTCTGTCCTGCAGAAGGGGGTCTGAACCAGGCAGGCCTGGCTGAGGGCCCATAGTCCCACAGCAGCAGTCTGGGTGTGGTTTTGTCAATCAGCTCGGAGTTGTGTGGGGGTGGGGAGGTGTTTTGTGCGAAATCCCTGAAGCCACATCCTCAGAGTAAGCCCTTCTTTCAGGAGCAGCTGTCCCTTCTTAAAGACCATCCTACCCAGACACCATCACAGGTAGTCTGGGCCCTTACCCCGGATTCTGACACAAATTGATCCACATACTGCCATTTGAGGGTCTCGTCAGGAGAACTGATGAGAGGGAAAATAGAAAGGGGGATATTAAGGAGAGATGTCTAAGGCACCAGACCTAAATTCAGATCACCCACATCTAGAGTCCCAACCACCACTGGCCCAAGAGCAGTGCTGGCCTGGGATTTAAGAGGGTGAGTCCTTAGGGCTGACCCCAGGATCCTGAACCCATGAGAAAGAGTCTGCCTGGAGGGGCTGGGTCCTGCTTACCTCTTCACTGGGATCATGCCTATATCTGTGGGAGAAAGGCCCCGGAGTTAGAATGGCTGCTCTGTCATCCTTTCTTCCCCAGGATCTGGGTACCCTGCTGCCCACCCCACCCCACCCCACCACCACCTACCCCTGCCTCCTGGCCTCCTCACTCACGTCTCACTTTGATGGACACAGTCTTCTTGGTGCGGATGAGATTGATGACTTCCTCGTGGGTGCAGGAGGAGATAGAATATCCATTGATCCGAACAATCTCATCCCCTACCTTGGCCACAGACAGAGGGAATGAGGTAAAAGATCTTGCCATGTACTCTGGAGCTTCACCACAAGCAGCCCACCGCCATCAGCCTCAGGAAGCCCAGGGCAGGTGGCACTTTCAAGCAGTCTTTCTGTCCCATTTTACAGATGGGGAGACCAATATAGGCAGTGTTGGCACAGTGAGTGGGTAGCAGAGCTGGAAGTAGAACTCAGGACTCTGTACCTCACTCTGATGTCCCTTTTGCATTGAGGCACCACCAGGTTCTGGAACCCATGCAAAGATGACCCCTTCATCCAGCCTCAAGGAGTCTTTGCTGGACTCTGTGCCACTTCACCCCTGAGAAACAGGCTCCCCCATTTCTGTTAATTGCTACAACACTATAACTGAGTTGGAATGCGGAACGTCCATGATGCTAGCTAGAGTACACACACACACAATCTTTTTTCCATGCTATGGAAACTCAATGAACATTTGAACTCTGCCACCACCCTGAACTCTGAATTTCTACTTTGGAGCAAGCCAAGAACAGAGAATGGGCACAGGGCTTAGACATCAGATGTCCTGGGTTTGAATCCAGCTTTTATTCTTATTAGCTATGTGATCTTGGGCAAGTCTCTTGAACTTTCTGAGCCTCAGTGTTCCTCATGTGTAAAATGGGGGAATAATGCGGTTGCTGTAAGAATTAAATGAGCTTGTGCATGAAAGCCAGCCAGTTCCTGGCACACAGTAAGTGTTCAATAAATTGTTGTCATTGTTACAGTTAGTTGGGCTTGAACTCTAAATATTCTGCTCAGACCCCTCTTCTCAGTGTTGGGGACACAGCAGATTAGGAGAGATGGGGGCTCAGAAGCCTGCCCTCTAGCCCAGGATACAGATCCATGGTGACATGGCCCCCTGCTGGACAATGCCTTTCCCTCCTCCAAGTACCTTGGCCCTGGGGCTCAATCCTGAAGCTCCTCATGTGGTAACAGTAGAACTGGGAGGACCCTTGGAGATCGGCTGAAACAAGGCTCTGAAAGATGATGGTTTGTTCAAGATCACACAGCAAAACCTGTATGCTGCTCTCTAATCTGCGGCCAGTGCAGGCCATGCATGCTGACCCTTTTGAGACTTGGTGGCAAGGTACATGTGGGGGATGCAGCTTGATTCTCTGTGGTGTCTGGGTGGGGGTAGGGTGGGCACACTGCCTCCGAGTGGTCCTCTAGGCTAACTCCTACCCTCTCCAACACCCTTACAGAGTCACCTTCTCATTATTGCCACCTAAACCACTTCCCTCCTCTACCTGGCACAGACCTCAATCTTCTCAAGGACCAGACGAGAGTGGTGAGGGGCTCAGAAGGTGTAACAGGAAACCATTCACTAAAGAACCTTCTAGTTTCTGGGGACATCAAATGTAAGGAGGACAGCTGGAGCACTCTGGTCACCACTAGCTTCTTGCACCTACGTTTCTCAACAACCCTGCAGGGCAGGAATCTGTGTCCCTGCTAATCAAATGAGGAAACCGGAGCATGGAGCAGTAAAGTGACTTGCTGCTCAGGGTCACTCAGCTAGGAAGTAGTGTGGCTGGGATTTGAAGTCAGGTCTCCCTGACTCTGAAGCATTTTCTCTCGGGTGTCTGGAAGCAGAACAGAATGGCATGTGGCAAACCTTGGCTGGAATTCCTACATCCTGCCTTCTCTGGACCCTTGCCACCCGTCAGAGCCCTTGATTCCCACAGGAAAGGCAGGGATTACTCTATCCGTTTTACAGCTGGGACAACCGAGGCACAGAGAATCATTCTAGACTACACAGCAAGTTGTGCAGCACAGGCTGCCCTGTGCGGAGCAAATGGAGTAGGGTAAGACACCATGCAATTTACAAGCATCTAACACATTTCCAGCAGAAGGATGGAATCCCAGGGCCTGGTCCTATTAGAGGGACCAAGCCCCCCACCCAGGGCCCAGCCTCACAGATCAAATCAGCACAAGGACTTCAGCCCTGCCAGGCTGTGCCTGAACCTGCTCATCTCCTGCCTTCTAGAAGCTTCTCCCAGCTGCCCTCAGGCATAAGATCTCTCCAGAAATATGAACTCTAGACAGGTTAATGGATACAGGCTTTTCCCCCCCAAAGTTCCTCTGAGTGAAGTTCCCTGTCTTATTCCTAAGGGGAATTTATCCAGGACCCCAGTCCCAACCATTCCCACACAGGCCCTGGCTCAGGTTGCAGGATCGACTTTCCTCTCCCTTTCTCTCCCCTCCCGTATGGAGCCCTGCAGAAAAGACCTTTGTGCAGGGGCTATAATGACATGGCGATCTGAGGGACAGCAGTAGAAAGAAGACATGAGCCCGTCAGTCTGTGAAAGGGTCCATAACACATAAGCAACAGCCAGGAAGGTGAAACTCTTAAGTTTCAATAAAATGTGATGCTCTCAGCGACACACTGCTGAGAAATGCTTGTCCTGAGAAGAAAGCTTGCCCAGGGGGAATAAAATGGGCCTCAGCTGTCTCCAGGAGAGGAGCTCATTATGCGTGTTCTCTGGCTGCATTTCTGGGCTGGAAAATGTGCCGGAGCAGAGGGGAACAATGAAGGGGCTGAAATTTCAGACGCCCCCGGTGAGCCGTGAGACAGGGATTTAGAACAAAGCGGTGTCTGTCAGCTCCCTGTTTCCACTCCCCACTCTGCAGTGTCTTGCCCATTAACCGGTGAGCCCCTTGAAGCCCCTAGCTTGGCAGCCTGGATTGAGATGTTGGTAAAAGACACTCTGAAAGCTCAGGGAGTTGGTGGGAGGGCCTCCTTTATCTGGACACACATAACACAGCTCTGGGCTCTGGGAAGAGCGAGGCTTGGAGAACTGACCATTTCTGCTCAGACACTGAAGTGTGGGGACCCTGAGGGTGCTGAAGAGAGAGCCCTGGGCTTGGCAATCAGGCAATGCGAGTTCAAACCATGGGTCTGCCACTTATAGCTTTTGTGACTCCAGCTAAGTCTCTGAACCTCTATTAACAACTCTATCAAATGGAGATACACCCTGCATGTAGTAAGAACTGCTAGTGAGCACTTTCCCTGGCACATTACAGGTGTTTATTAATCACATCTTCAGCTCTTTGTTTAACAAACACACAGCACTTATGTGTCAGGCACTGTTAAGAATACTTTACAGTATTAATTCATTGATTCCTTGTAAAACCATGAAGTAGGTAGTAGTATCACCATCCCTTTTTCATAGCCATCACCACCCATCTGTCAGTTTGTTGTGCTGTGGTGGCTTGTGTGTTGCTATGATCCTGCAAGCTATGCCACTGGTATTTCAAATACCAGAAGGGATCACCCATGGTGAACAGGTTTCAGCAGAGCTTCCGGACTAAGACAGACTAGGGAGAAAGACCTAGAAAGCTACTTCTGAAAATGACCCAGTGAAAACCTTATGGCTCACAACAGAAGACTGTCGGATGCAGTGCTAGAAGTTGAGCCCCCATGGTTGGGAGGCACTATACATTGGCTGCAAGGATACAGACTCAAAGATGCCAGTCATCATGACGGTGGAGCAGGACCAGGCAGCATTTCATACCATTATACTAGGTCACCATGAGTCGGAGACAATGCAAAAGAAACTAATGATGATAGTTTTACGGATGAGGAAATTGAGGCACAGGGCTAAGCAATTTCACCAGTCTCATAGTGAATGAACAATAAAGTCAAGATTTGAAATGGAGCAATGCAGCACCAGGCCTATGCTCTTAAGCATCACACTGCCCTGTGCTTTCTTTTTCCCTTCTGGTAATAGCTGCAGGTGCCAGAACATTATTTTGCTCCAGTTTCGAGAAGCAGGGAACAGGGTGAAGTGTGGCAGCAGCTTGGTTAGGAAGCCACAACCAGGTTCCCAGCTTGACTCAAGAAAACAGACAAATGCCTGTAGAAGAATTTCTGTGAATCTGTGCAAACCTGCCAGGATGTGTCAACTTCTTTTTTCACAAAGGCTCAGAAAAGTAGGGTGACCATGCACTACATGGTTGGCTTGCTGAGTTGAAAGGACAGTCAGGAAGCCTGAAGCCCTGCCCCCCACCCCTATGTCTGCTCACTCACCTGGAGTCCGATGTTGTCTGCCTGACCGCCTTTGATGAGGTGGGAGATGAAGAGACCACAGCCAAACTCGAGGCCGCCACGGACACTGAGGCCAAGACCTTCAGGGTGCAGACGGTCCAGACGCACCTCCTTCAGCTTTCTGCCATGAAGGAGAGGATGATGATGGCCCAAGTTCGGGCCCAACTGCCAGGCCTGCCCCATCTACTAGTGAGGGTCTGTCCACCCTATCCAGGGTGACCTCTCCCATCCCTGCCTCTAGCTCTGCTGCACAGTCCATACCTGGAGCGTCGGGGCGTTAGCTGGTCATACTCCACCTGGTGCTTCAGCGGGATCAGGGGCCGGATAGCATCAAACAGTGGCAGGCGGCTGGGCTCATTTATGACCAGCTTCAGGTCTCCCACCAGCACAGCCACATCCATGGTCCTGTGGAGACACCGGGGGTGCCTGGAGCCTCACCTCAGGCATGACCCCTGGGAGCCACGGCTTTCCAGAGGGAGCAGCCCTGGCTTGGGTCCCATTCACTGGAACCTGAAGAACTCTCTTGAAAAGGAAGCAGTCACTCTTCCTGAGCCCTTAACTTGGTCCAGTGCTTGGAAAAAACTTTGTTCTCCCACGTATGTTTCACAAGGAAATGAGTGAACTAGGGATGGTTAACCCATTTAGCAGATGAAATTGAGTCAGAACTCAAACTCAGCTCTGCCTAGTTCTGAAGCCCCGGATCCTTCCAGACAGGAAACACGTGTGAGATGTTGATGATGCCTCTCACATCCTTGTCTTCACTTTTGATGTGCTGCTAAGCTCTGTAAATTCCACAATCTCTCTCACATGTCTCCTTTCACCCTATTCAGACCCTCAGCCCCACTGGCCTCCACTTCTCCAGCTGCCTGTTGCCTTCCTCATCATCTTGTCTACATGTAAGTCACTCCCCTTCTCAAAATTCTTCAGTGGCTCCCTACTTCCCAGGGACAAAGTCCATTCTCCCTGGCAGGCTTAGGACCCTCCCTGATCTGTCTCTCCAGACTTCTCCAACAACAACAAACAACGCACTGCCATCGAGTCAGATTCGACTCATAGTGACCCCTCCTTGGGTTTCCGAGGTGGTATCACCATGGAAGTAGATTGCCCAACCTTCCTTCCGTCTTGTAGATATTTATGATCTTTGTGTACCCCAAGTTCTATTCTCTGGAATACTCTTGTTCCCCAGTCACAGCTTGTGCTCTCATGCTTCCACGCCTTTGCCAATGCTGATCCTTCATCCTGGATTGCCCTTCCCTGAGATCAATATCAGGAAAATGAAGGAAAAAGCCACTGAGAATAAAGTAGAACTAGGGCTGAAACTTTTCTTCCTAGTCTGTCCTTGTCTGGAAGCTCCACTGAAACCTGTCTGCCATAAGTGACCCTGCTGGTATTTGAAATACTGGTGGCATAGCTTCCAGCATCACAGCAACATTCAAGCCACGACAGCATGACAAAGTGACAGCTCAGAGTAAGACAGACTAGGAAGGCCTGACAATCAATGAAAACCCTAGGGATCACCATAGAATATTTTCCAACAAAGTGCTGGAAGATGAGTCTCCTAAATTGGAAGGCACTCAAAATACACAGTGACTTCAACAATGGACTTGAGCACCCCAACAACCAAGAAGGTGGTGCAGGACTGGGCACCATTTCGTTCCGCTGTACATGGCGCCACCATGAGTCAGAGACAACTCGAGAGCAATGAACAACAGTGCTGCAACAGCAGGAAGGAAAGCAGTAGGACTCCAAGTAGGGGATTATTTTGTACTTTTTGTTAATGGACCTAGATTTCCTTGTTTGGGGGCAAGCACTATTGTAGGGTTTAAGGATTTCTTCCCTTCCTTTCTTTCTTTTTAAATTATTCTTATACTTTAAAACCTAGCTCAAGCCTTCCTGGTCCTTTCCCCCACAGTTAAAAGTGAAAAATCCTTTCTTCACACCACTACACTACGCTGCTCTTACCTCTACTTGGTTATTTCATTGTAAATTATATTAGAGTCCTTGGTGTGTGTAGGGTCTGTCCACCTCCCCACACTAGGATGTAGATTACTTGAGGAAAGAGGCTGGATCTTACTTATTTCTGGATCCTGCATGATGCCCAGCAAGTGGCAGGGGCTGGTAAATGTATGCTGAATGAATGAAAAAGCAAGTGGGTGATGAAAGACATCTGACACAAGGCATTTCTTATTCTGTCTCAGCACTGAGCCTATCTGGCTACTTGACAGCCTACCCCATCAGACTGTGAGCCACCTGACAGACAGCAGGTGCTAGTCTGTCTTGCTCACAGTGTATCTCCAGCCCTCAGCACAGAGCCAAGCACAAAGCACATGCCATAAGTATTTGCTGAAATAAGTGAATGATGTGTTCGTTTGATTCCCAGGAGGACTGAGAACCTCTGAGATCCCCATGATGGAAGGGAGAGGTCTTCCTGTCTCTTAGAACAACTCATCCCAGGGCTTCCTAGAGGCAGAGGCAGCCGGTGGCCCATGGGAACCAGACCCAACACACACTTACTGATGGTACATTCGCAGCACGTCATAGAGATAGTCCTTCTCGGCATCATTTTCAATCAGAAAATCCACCTAGAAAATCCAAGGGCAGAATTATAGCCCCAGGCCCAGCAGCCCCCTAGCACACCCCAGGGAAAAGGAAACCATCCACAGGGACCTCCCCAGCATCTCCTCGGGGCTGGGGATGTGAGGAGAGGGGGGAGGCCAGATGCCATTCTGTCCCTGGGACCTCAGAATATCAGACCCATGCAGACCACCCCAACGTGGCCACAGGAGTAACTACATATCCAGATGCGGCCAGGCTAAGCCTGGTGGGGTGACATGCACACACACAGAGAAACACACACATGTGTATACACATGAACCCCCACATGACAGCAATGCATCCCTATGGTAGTGCTGCCATTCCCCCATAGTATGTCACCCTATGTCCAGGAGTGGCAAAGCTAATGTCAACTGCCCCACCTGGAAGAAGCCCATTTTCTTACCTGGTGGTGACTGTACTGTCGGATGAATGCTTTCAGAAAGGATTTAGGCCACTCACTCAGATAACACATCCCACCCACCGGAAGCACCCCACCTCTTAGTTTTTCTGGGACCCCCAATGCCAGCGGGACTCCACTCTGTCCTGTCCCGGACTAAGCTGGGATGACCTTGAGTTCTGTCCACTGGTCAGCCTCCAGGCCACTCCTTTCCCTCCTCAGGCCCCTGATCATCCCCTCCACAGGGAGAGTCAGGTTACATCATTTCAACTTTGCTGACGTCAATGGCTAAGACTCCAAGGTCAAGTTCAGGTGCTATTTCATTAGCACCTCAATCCCAGGGGACTAGATGAGCCAGGTGCCCCAAATTCTATTCCCTGGGACAGCACAGTGTGACTCTCCATCCAGTACACCCTTGGGCTCTCTCTTTTGACCAAGTCTGAGTAACAGAGTAAGGTGGAGGCAAGGGGTCTTTGGGTCCCTTCCCCAGCCTCCAGGCACAACAGTTTGATCCAGGGTTCAATCACTCATAATAAGAAGCTGATGGTGGAGATGCAGGCTCCCACCTGGTTGGCTCTCAGAAGAAAGCCAGAGCAGCCTTGCCTTTCTTTCAGGATTCTGAGGACTAGGGAATAGTCTGTCTGCCCCAACACAACCCTTAGGAAATCCCAGCCCTTGGATTTTCTGGCCTGAGTGGGGGTACAGATGCAGATTTCTGGTCTCCACCTGGCAGTACCACCCCCACAGCTCTGTTCTAAAATCAGTCCAAGCATTTCATTGAAGATGAGAACAATCTAAGAGGCCCGTTCTCTACTGGCTCATGGCTTGGACTTACATTCACCCCATCTGCTCCACCATGGGCACTCCTGCCTTCTCTTACCTCTCTGCCCTTCTCCTCTAGGCAGGGGGCTCCCAGCCAGCCAGAAGATGAGAGAGGGGAACATGTTCTTGAGTAAGTGGCACTAAATCTTAGGGTTTGCCTGGGCTCTTGCACATACCACTTAAGTGGGTACCTCTAAGAGCCCATTCTATGAGGAGCCAGCCTGGGACTATCTCTACTCACTCTGCCTGGACCTGGATGAGAGGAGTGGGGGACTTCACCAAGACCAGGCTAGGATGTCCACACTTGGCTATGATGGAATCTGAACAGAGAAAAATTCTAAACTTCTGGGATCAAGGGCCAAAGATGTCTTTAAAAAATATAAATCAGGTCATGTCACTTGCTTGCTTAAAAGCCTCTAATTATGCCTAGATGATGAAGGTTGAAGAATACAGTCTGCAGTATGGATTACATCTCAATCTAAAGAAAACAAAAATCCTCACAACTGGACCAATGAGCAGCATCACAATAAATGGAGAGAAGATTGAGGTTGTCAAAGAATTCACGTTGCTTGGTTCTACAATCGATGCCAACAGAAGCAGCAGTCAGGACATTAGACGACATGTAGCATTGGGAAAGGCAACTGCGAAGGAACTGTATCAAGTGCTGAGGAGCAAGGATATCTCCTTGAGGACTAAGGTGCGCCTGACACAAGCCACGATATTTCCAATCGCCTCGTATGCATGTGAGAGCTGGACAATGAATAAGGAAGACCGAAGAAGAGTTGATGCTTTTGAGTTGTGGTGCTGGCGAAGAATGCTGAAAGTACCATGGACTGCTAAAACAACTAACAGATCTGTCCTGGAGGAAGTGCAGCCAGAATGCTCCTTGGAAGCAAGAATGGCCAGACTTCGTCTCACCTATTTTGGTCATGTTGTCAGAAGGGACCATTCCCTGGAGAAAGATGTCATGCTTGGTAGGGTGGAGAGTCGACAAAAGAGGGGGAGGCCTTCAACGAGATGGATTGACACGGTGGCTGCAATGACGGGCTCAAGTATAGCAGGGATTGTGGGGCTGGCGCAGGATCAGGCAGTGTTTCATTCTGCTGTGCATGGGGTCGCTATGAGTCGGAAACGACTCGACGGCACTTAACAACAACAACAACAATTATACATAAAACAAAATCCAAATGCAAACTCCCCACCTTGACTTACCAAAGCCCAACCTTGTCTCCCAGTACTCTTCACGGCTACATGGGCCTCCTTTCAGTTCTCCCACAGGCCAAACTCTCTCCAGCCTCAGGGCTTTGGTGTCAACTCTTCCCTCTACCTGGAATGCTCTCCCCTTCCGTGCATAGCTCGTCCCCTTCCCAGAGATGTCTTCTTTGTCCATCTACCTATATAGAAGCCCCCTCTCACACCCTGGAAGTTTTTAAATTCTTTGGTTATATCAAATCACTGTTTGTAATTAAAAGCTTGCTTGTGTGTAAGTTTGTCCATTTTCTTCACTAGGCAGAAAACTCTGTGAGGGAAGGGATGAGATCTGTATGTTCTAAGCCCCTGTTATTATTATTGTTGTTAGGTGTCATCAGGTTGATTTCACACATAGAAATCCCAAGTGACAGAATAGACCTGCCCCATAGGGTTTTCTTGGCTATAATCTTTATAGAAGCAGATTGCCAGGTCTTTTGTGGAGCTACTGGGTGGGTTTGAACTGCTAACCTTTTGATCAGCACCAAGTGCTTAAGTGTTACATCACCCCCCTAATGCCTAATAAATAGTACCAAAGAACCAAACCTGTCACCATTGAGCCAATTCCAATTCACAGCAACGCTACAACTGTCCCATAGGGTTTCCAAGGCTGTAATCTTTATGGAAGCAGACTGCCACATGTTTCTCCTGCCAAATGGCTGGTTGGTTCAAATTGCCCACCTTTTGGTTAGCTGTTGAGCACTAAGCCACTGTGCCACTAGGACTCCTAACATATGTTAAGTAGACAATAAATAAATATTGTTTGACTTTGTCCATTTCCCTGACTGCTGGTGTGCCTGTATAAATCAGATGGGAGAAACGGTATCATGGGAACAAAAAACAAAAAAGAAACCAAACACACTGCCGTGAAGTCAGACCCAACTCACAGTGACCTCTCCTTGGGTTTCTGAGGCAGTATCACTACGGAAGGAGATTGCTCAACCTTCCTTCTGAGGAGTGAGTGGCTGGTGGGTTTTAACCACCAGTCTTCTGGTTAGCAGTCAATGGGAACAAAAGGGGAAGGCAAATAATGCTTGCAGAGCCCCTGG